CGCTGGACATGAGGCTAAGCGATTGGTGCTGTAGTGTATCAAAGGAGTGAGTTCGAATCCCGTTGAGGGACAAAAATTTGTCAGCATAAAAGTCTAATTCTAACACTGTTGGGTGTAATTTTCAGACTTATATATATATATATATATATATATATATAAAACGTCTCAATAATAGTCAACGATTTTTCCCACGAGGGCGCTGGATCGTTACGAGTAACGATACATGTACACAATAAATAAATTATATAAATTTTAGGCGTTTTTATATATATATATATAAACAAGTCTTAATTGAAAACAACGTTCAAACCTATGATTGCGTTGGATAAAAACCGCAACCAAAAGACAAAAAAAGTGAAAAAGTATATTTTAACAAAACGCATTTGACTTGCAGGTCGAACAACGGATGTTCTTAAACCCTGCTATTTGGCGATTGCCAAATAAACGGATCACCAGATGTAACAAAATGGATCTTAATTATTAATTTAATATCAAACAGAAAACAATAAACTTGCGGAAAAGATGGTATACCGCAAACAAAAGGTGCAAAAATTAGTACACCATATCCGGATTTCGACAATTAATGTCTCTTCAGTGATGTTAGGAATCGAAACGGTATTTGGAAGGCCATATAATTTACCTCAATTTCAGATAGACACTTGAATATTGAAGAGTCGAAATAGGATGAAGGATCATATAAACCCGAAGGGAAATATAATACAAACCCAAATAAAAAAATATAAACAAGTCTAAATTGAAAACAACGATCAAACCTATGATTGCGTTGGATAAAAACCTCAATTTTTATACGTGTGCATGCAAAACAAATTTCTTGGTAGAGGGGTATAAATACAACACAAGCAACATTTCCCAAAAGACCAAAAAAGTGAAAAAGTATATTTTAATAAAACGCATTTGAAAGCAGGTCGAACAACGGATGTTCTTAAACCCTGCTGACTGCCGTTGGCGATTGCCAATTAAACGGATTAACAGATGTAACAAAATGGATCTTATTTATTAATTTAATACCAAACAGAAAACAATAAACTTGCGGAAAAGATGGTATACCGCAAAAAAAAGGTGCAAAATTTAGTACACCATATCCGGATTTCGACAATTAATGTCTCTTCAGTGATGTTAGGAATCGAAACGGTATTTGGAAAACCATACAATTTACCTCAATTTAGGATAGACTCTTGAATTTTGAGGAGTCAAAATAGGATGAACGGATCATATAAACCCGAAGGCAAATATAATACAAGACCAAACGAAAATATATAAACATGTCTAAATTGATAACAACGTTCAAACCGCAATTTTAATACGTGTGCATGCAAAACAAATTTCTTGGTAGAGGGGTCTAAATACAGCACAAACAACATTTTCCAAAAGACGGATGTTCTTAAACCCTGCTGACTGCCATTGGCGATATACTCTACCACTGCATCGAGTGTGATACGAGATTTTTCCACTCGAGACAGTTAGATTTTCAACGATGCTTTTAAACCGATATGCATACAAATTAAATCCTTCTTTTCCAATTATCTGCAAAAATATGTGATCTTTCTATGTAACGTTATCAGACATAGTAGCCTTTTTATCGTGACGTCACAATAAGAAATTCGGAGGAAAGCAAGAAAATCTTGACGTCATAATTTAATTTTGACCAAAGAAGAAATCAGATCAAACGAACCACATGGTGATTAACAAAATATCAACAGGTCAAGAAAAGGATAAATCGGGAAAGAATTAGAGAAAGTCATATACAATGAGGAGATCAGATGTTATTGCCAATTAAACCAAAGTACACCACTGTATAAAAAACGAATATGTAGACAACTAGAAGCGACTCTATGGCCTTCAACAATGAGCAAAACCTATACTTTATGGTAATACTGCCTAGAAAAAAGTTTTTAAAAAATTCAACGAAATAAATTATGGAAGACGCAATCATCGACAACCACTGTATGTGTAAACGCCTGGCATTGGAAATGCAAATAGTGACTGTGGTAGGTTTATGAATGTTCTAGGATGCCCAACACTACCCAGGTAACCCTTAACATGAAATAGTAGTGTAACAGTAATCACGTCGGGAAAGAAAATCTTCCGTTTTTGATACATGGCCATACTGAATAAGGCAGCCTTTAAAATGAATAAACATATATATTGGGTATTCTATTTCAACCGATTCTTCAGTGAAATCCTGTCTATCATATTTTTATGGTGGCCGGTTAAGGCCATTTCGGATTTTCACGATTTTGCCTTTTCACCTTTCATATTCTAATGGGCGAAAACGCGAAAACGCTAAGTCGACAACGCGAAAACGCGAAATGGTTTCACTTCTCGTTTTTTTGTGTTTTCGACTTCGCGTTTTTCAATTACTGCCCTCTTCTGTCAATTATTTTGTATTATTACCTTGACAGAGGGTTGCTGCTCGCAAGGATGCTACAATACATACTGGAACATAGTCTGAAAAATGCTGTGCATTTTTTGTATGTCTGACATGATGGGCATTTTGGTCCCTGATCAGACCACATGTTGTGATTAGGGGATAGATGACAAAACAGGTGTAATAAAATTGTCAGGTGTTAATTTAGGGAAATAAAGTCAAACAGGAATTAAAACATAGAATTACAGGGAAAATCTAAATGTATTTTAAACAATTGACTAATTAGTTATAATAGTATTGGTTAGCTATGTATTTTCAATCATTTCCGTTTTTTTTTACTTTAGACTAATTTTCATTAATCATTATACTTTATTATATATATAATAAAGCAGTGACTCTTATGTATCACATGTATAGTGAGATTCTTTTTATTTCACTGAATAAATATCCAATATTTTCTATGATTTTGTTTTGAACGAGTTAGTTAGATTTTATTTTTCTAACTCGACAATGTAAGAATATATATTTCATTAACTTTTGTGGTATATACGGTATAAGAAATTTCTAATATAAATCAAACTTTCTTAATATTTGAAATAATTTAAAAGTGATTGAATGTAAAAATTATACTGCTTATACATGATTTCTATATATAAAAAGAAAGGAACATTTGCCATATCTCCATAGACATGTGATAAAAGTAAAATAAAGTTTACCAACTATCTATATACTGTTTCGGTTTTTCAATTAATATAAAGAATTCATTATTTGATCAAACTGCAGTTTTTGGATATGACAACAGTCACAGTTAATGTGTTTACTATTTTTTAACATGTTGAACGTGAAAGAAGAAACTCTAAAAAAAAAATATCTTTTTATGACAAAGGTACACTTTAGGAAATTGTTCGTTTAATATCATTTTTAAATGAATTACTATACAATTTTAATATCCATAGGCACCAAGAAGCCATTATTTTATGATGGTCTAGATCAGATTTATATCAATAATATGATAACTATCATAATTGTTGTAAATATATTTTGTTTACAAAGTTGTATAGTGTATCATTATTCAAGAAAAATACAAAAACTAATGTGGAAATACATCATTTGTTTATCGAATAATTATCTCAAAACAGAGATGTGTGTGTATTACCGTAATTTAGGGAAGAAAAATCCTTAAATAAAAAATTGAAAAATGTATCTTAACTTGACTTGCAATGCTATCATTTGTCATGCAATTTAAGTAATTTTAAAGTACAAATGGATAATAGGAATTGCAATTTTTCCACACTGTACAACAGACAATAACATTTTGTTTTTATTTGACTTTATTTTATTACATTTGGCTACTCTTCTGATAACCTTTAACCTTAGCTCTTTTATTCTTTTATATTACGTCCATTTTTGCTGAACTAGTACAAATTTTTGTTTAGGGTCCAGCTGAAGCCCGCCTCCGGGTGAGGGACTTTCTCGCTGTGTTGAAGACACATTTGTGGCCTTGAGCTGTTTTCTGCTCTTTAATCGAGTTATTGTCTCGTAGACACATTCCCCGTTTCCATTCTCAATTTTATTACAAAATGAATAAATGTAATTGATAATAATTTTGATCATTTTGATAGTAATAAATGAAGATTTAAATTTGATTTACATCTGACATATATTTTTTGAACTAATTAATATCTTCTATAATAATACATTTTTCATTTCCTGTTTTAATGGTTTTTCCTATCCAGAGTTAACCTGCAAAACAAAGGTAAATATAAACCTTTGCAGGTACAATATATGAAACAAAATTGTCAACCTATGGCAGTACAATTCAACACCTGGATGACCACATGTTAGTTGGCCCAGCAAGTAGCAATATTCAACTTCCCTAGCAGTCCATGGTTTATGACCCCAATGAAAGCCTGACATCTAATGTTGATGTTGATGATTTATCAAACATTGTCCCAGTGTGTACTGTATTAAACCAAGAGTTCCATGTGGTGAATGTTGAAATCGTCCCTTCGTAAATTTTACGGACACCATCACGAGTTGGTTGACCGTTATGGAATATCCGATTCACAGATGACAGCAGATATGTTCCAATTGTCGTAACTATAATCCCATCCCCTTTTCCCCAAATGTAACCTACCGATTTAGACGTATCACCGGGTTTGTACTAACATGAGCAACACGACGGGTGTCACATGTGAAGCAGGATCTGCTAACCCGTCCGGAGTACCTCAACCCCGGTTTTTGGTTTGGTTCGTGTAATTGATATTGTATGTAGAGAGCCTTATCCAAATGAGTATATCTCTTTAAATCAAGATATTATTGTTATTCTTATTATCATTATTATTGAATACATAAGTACTCGTTGAAAAAATACAAATGTAAATAGTACTTGAAAATGTTACTTTCCAGTCAGATTATATTCAAGTTGTTCATCATCATCCGATCAGATAAAACATAGGAAATGATTGGCAGAAGTGGGCAGTATCTGACAAACGCGAAAACGCAATATCGCGAAATCGCGAAAACCAGAGAACGCGAAACCATGAAAACGCACAGTTGAAAACGCAAAAAAAGAGAAGTGAAACCATCTGATATCTTATTTAAAATATATCTATTGTGATATCGTGCATTCCCATTTCATCTGATACTTTACTTGAAATATATGTTGAAATATTGTGTATTTCTTCTATCTGATATCTTATTTGAAATTTTATCAAAATAAATACAGTCTACATTGGCATATGTTGCAATGATGGATTCTTCTGCCAGTATCCCACACCAAAGGAAAATACGATTCTACATTTATGGATATTTTAAGGAAGCATTTACAAGTTAAAACATACTATTCTAAATTCTAAAGAAATTGAAGATACAAGAAATAAATATCATATATTTTTCAAAATAAATAACGGACATTGAATAGAATTAGGACCTCGGGGTTTGTGTGTTAGTGTAATTGAAAAAAGTGTCCATGTATCATGTTATATTGATAATAAAATGATTTTATCGAACAAATAAATTTCCTGCAATTCTTGCAGCTATAACGACGTTCTGTTACCATTGTCTTCTGAGATTGCATTTCACATCTTTAAAATTTGAAATAGAAAATAATAAAGCTGTGCACTAAATAAATATCACTATACTATGGTTTAAATAATACAGCTTTTAGTTTTATAATTTACAACTCCGAAATATTGTGTTGTTTATTAATTGTTGTCTTTGTGTTAATGTTTATATTTTTAGGTTGCACTTCTGTAAATATAGACAATGCAATTACCCATAATTATATAGTTTGTTGCATATGTTAACGCCAAAATAACGATATCGTATTATCCAGTTTGCTTAATGTGTTAAAGCTATAGTGGGTCGGTGTGTTTGTGGGTGTTTACAATATTTCAACCGGGGAAGATATGTGCATTTTTTGTTACCTGAAAATGTCGTTACTTTCCGTAAGAAAATCTAATTGCAAACATTATCAATTGTACTTTATTTTTATGACTGTATCTTACGATCCTTTACGATAGATATTTAGCTAATCTGCAATCAATATCATCTTCATGCCTAATATATCATGTACTGTGTTACAACTTTAGATTCTACTGACGAGGAAAGGTAACACTAGACCTCCGAAAGCTGAATTATTAGTTCAGTCTAGGTGGCTGATCGGTTTAGAGCGATGGACACATTGCAGGCGGTGTTGTCTCCCTGTGCCCAGTAGCATGAGTTCGAATCCCGGCGAGGAAAGAACAAAAATGTTCTTCCAGTTGCAGATTTAACATTGTTGTGCTGATATTTAGAGTAATTATATATATAGCTTACAGCCCCGCTCGGGGAGGAAGTCAAGAATCAGAACTTCTTTAACATCGTTAGGTTGATTTTCTGGGCACTTTATAAATATTCTAACGCCTGGTATTTCTTAATCATAAGAAATCCGATGGAAATGGTATAATTTGCAGTTGTCACTACACATAGGATATTAATTTACAGTGATTGTATGCTTCTAAAAATAGATTAGCATCCTGTTATTATACTGAAGAGATGAGTAGATGATAATTCATGTACAATTAAAAATACTTCGTGTATTGTGTCAGATGGCCTTGTTTAATTCCTACGAGAAGGTAACACCTCCCGAAACGATAGCTGATTTTTATCAGCTATAGTTAGAGGAGGGGATAAGGCGTCTGCGCAATGCATCAGTGAAGGTGATACACGGCTGAAAACACATATTATATTCATAATTACTCTAGATATCAGCACAACAATGTAAAATCTGCAAATTTGTGGAAGAAAATTTTAGTTTTTCCCTCGACGGGATTCGAACTCATGCTATTGAGATATCGAGACAATACCGCCTGCACTATGTCCAGCGATCTAGACCACTCGGCCACCTAGACTGAACTAAAAATTCAGCTTTCTGTGGCCTATTGTTAACCCTCCTCGTCAGTAGAATCTAAAGTTGTAACACAGTACATGATATATTAGGCATGAGGATGGAATTGATTGCAGTTTAGCTAAATTATATATATATAATGCGTCTCAAATTTAGCCCTCGGGGGGATTCGAACCTTTGCTTCTGTGACATCGTGGCAACACCGCCTGTGCCGTGTCCAGCGCCAATGACCACTCAACCACCTAGGCTACATAAAAATATAGCTTTCGGAGGTCGATGTTATGCCTTTCTTCGTCGGCTTTATCTAGAGTTGCAACACAATACATGGTGTAAAGTGGCAAGTATATGGTGTACCTTTCAGATCAGCTATCTATGATGATTTTATTGACAATGTTATACAAATATTATATCGTTTAGATATATGAATTGGTATGACAACATTTTTAACTTAGTATTTACAGGCCGGCTTCATGTTTTTCTGTTGATATCAATTTGAAAATCTGATTCATTAATTGTTGCTGGCTTATCGTCCAGTGACAATTTTTCACGCATATTCAGGAGTAGAAAAAAATTAACAATTAATTCAAATGTAGGTTTTTACATAGGGTCGACCGGGCTGAAAGGGTCAAGGGATTTTGTTTACCACTAAAAAATAAGGGCATTGTGGAAAGGAACAGAACTTTTGCTTTGCAAACGTCCCCCTTCAGATCTATCAGAGAGTTGTTCAAACATTTCTTAACATGCGGATGGTGCGGCACTTTGTACATGATGTTTCGAATTTTAACGTCCCCATTGTTTCGAATCTTTACTTCCAGGATAGACAACCGGATGTATCAACTTGCAGGGGTTTTCCGGTCGGAACAGGAGAATTCCGGAGATGACAATATATTTATACCCCCAGAGTCGTTAAACATTCGGGATTCAATAAAATTTAGCTCTTCTGCTTGTTTCTGTGGATGTATCTTTTAAAATGTCTTTAAAAACCATAATAAAGGCGATATTTCTTCGTATATCTTCCTCGGAGTTCGGTATTTTTGTTATTTTACTTTTTTTGGATGATTTCTAATCAATTCTTATTTTTTACTAAACATGTCAATGTAGACTCATAGACATATTTAGCTCCTGTCATTGTAAACAACGATTACATAATATTGAAATACATAAAATTCTATAAAATATCAATTTCCGAAAAGATACAAACCTCAAACTATATGTTCCAAACAAATTAATCACATTTTCTACATGTATTCCTTTTGGTGTATATCTAATAGAAGGAAGCACTGGAACCGTGATAGCCTGGAACTTATCTATATCACTATTCAGGGTTTTTAACTTTTCAAATAGAGCAGCATCTCGTCTTGTTTTCTCGAGTTCCTTTCTCTTTAGATCCAAACCAGTTATCCCCTGTAATCCAGTTTGCGCTTCTATAACCATTTTTGTCAGTTTTTCCCGTACCTGCTTTGCTTTACTATTTATATCGTCGATCATTTTTTGGACTACGCGATCAATCATGGCTTTCATTTTGTGTCCTTCATCTCTTATTTCTTTAATGACGGAGTTAACGTCCAAATCAAAAGCTTTCAGTTCACTGTTTATTTGCGTTACGTTTTTAGTTGCAATGTTAAGTTTTTTTTCGATTGCTATGTTGATGTCCTGAGTCAAATTGGTGATGGAATCATCTATATTAGCGACTTTATGACCATTGTGTTTACCTGAAATACATCTTCTACAAACAGGAACATCACAGCTAGAACATAAAAAGATAAAATCCTCGTCGTGTTCTTTACATTTGGATTTTACTTCCTGGATCAAATCTGAACTACTCTGAAATTCATGATTTCGCGTAGCTCGTTGTCTTTTATGTAAGCCTTTACAGGTTTCACAGAAGTACTGTTCACAATCAATACAATAATGCTCAGTTAAAGCACTGGAACAAATATCGCATGTTTTGGAAGCTACCTGCGCCATGTTTGTTGTAAAGACACCTACACTACAGATTTACCTGGACAAATGTGAATGTTTATCGACTTATCTAAGGTAAAAGTTTAAAGTTACGATTGAACTTTAAAATCTATTATTAGGATATGTATAGATATACAATTATATATCATTGTTTGCGTACGCAGTTTATTTACGCTTTTTTTTTAATTGATACTTGTAAAATATTTTGTATGATTTCAAAATTGAAATACTCGTGTACTGTGTACTGTGTACTGATGAATCAAACTTACACTATTTTTCATAATTATATTGTTGTTATTTTTGCCCTTTTTGAGGACTTCAGAATAAATATCGTCGAGAATACAAGGACGTGAAAGCCCTAGACTTTCAAAAGATAGTTTACATTTCGATTTATTCAAGTAAATTTTAACATGACACCATCACACAACAGTTACAAATCGTTATCTTTTTTTTTTATCAAAAGAAGATTGGGATACCTAGCAAACCAGGTTGGAGTTACTAGAACACTAGGTTTGAGTGGCAAGTAACCTGGATTGGAGTAGGTTATAGGAGATAAAAGTCCTGCAATCCTGCAAATATAGTTAATTGTAATGGTTAAATATCAAATGTAGATTTGTTTAGAATGATATCAAACATTTTCAAATGCAAAAAAAATAAATACAAAAGATAAAAATATCAAATAAACAATGCAAACAAGCTTGAAGATGTGCTAATATATTTCTAAGGATTACCCATGAAAGTGTTTCCGCTTATTTCTGAAGGGGTCCTTTTGATTGTATTGATTGTTTAATAATGATGAAAAATATGGCACATTTCGCCAGTCCTTCTGTTAAATGAAATCAAGACAATCATAACATTTAGTCAAAGCAACAATTTGAATAATCAACCTTTAGCTATCAGGAACTATCAAGCGTTGATATTATTAATACTTAAAGCAGAGTAAGCTATTTCGATCAAGCAAGGTAACCTTTCTTTCACCAAATCTTTCTGAATAAAATGTTGATGAATCAATAAAGTAAATACATTGTAATTTGTTATTGTTGAATATTTTAAAAGAGATAAAACTTTTAATCATTGTCTGACGTAAACAAGCGTTGTGAAGTGAAGTGAAGTGGCACTGTAAACTGAAATTAGAAACAGGAACGGGATTGGATATTTTTGGAAACAATAACGAGTGATTGCATGCTTGTGTCTAATTGTTAAATATCACATGACTGTGTAATTACAAACTGACAGACAAAAATACTTTTGCTCAACGATTTTGTACACCGAGGTTTCTGCACGGTGTGTTCATATATGTAGGACTCTCAACCGCGATGGTACTCCGCTGAAGTGTGTTTCTGATCACGCTGATGTGCGATAGTGGCATTGTGAAGCTATCTTGTTGATAGCTACGCCGAAGCGCGATGGTGGTAACGCTGAAGTGTAATTGACTACATAAACTATATCTTCAATGCTTTTCATGAATATGCAACCAAATTGTAGAAGCTTTCACATTTGCGTTCTTTATTTATAAAAAAAAAAGAAAATGTGGTATGATTGCCAATGAGACAACTCTCCACAAGAAACTAAATGACACAGAAAATAACAACTATAGTTAACCGTACGGCCTTCATCAATGAGCAAACCTCATACCACATAGTCAGCCATAAAAGGCTCAGAAATGACAAATGTAAAACAATTCAAACGAGAAAACTAAGGGCCTAATTTATGTACAAAATAATGAACGAAAAACAAATATGTAACACAGCAACAAACGACAACCACTGAATTACAGGCTCCTTACTTGGCACAGGCACATACAGAATGTGTCAGGGTTAAACATGTTAGCGGGCGTCCAAACCTCTCCTTAACATGGGACAGTGGTGTAACAGTACAACATTAGAACAAACTATAAAGATCAGTTGAAAAAGGCCTAACTCATCAGATGGAAAGAAATAGAAATACATCTAACAAAACACAGAATGGACGTGGACGGGTACTTGTACATCCCAACAACAAAATGACACTAAGTACAGATATTATTTGTCATTATTTCGTAATGTTGTAGAAGTTTATTTATAAACATTTCAAACACATTATTTTGTTTTGTTTTCTGCTCGGATATATAATAAACTTTATATATAGTAAAAAGTATAATTGTTAGAAATCGTTAATATTGTAATAAGTTGTATCGTCTATCTTGTATCCATACAGATATTATATGATGTCATATTTTAAGTGTACCTAGTATTAGTTTTATTTGATCCAAAATAATTTCATATATTTGCATGTCAAAAAGTAATGTTCATAATCTTCAATGACATTACATATATATATGTAATGTCATTGAAGATTATGAACATTACTTTTTTTCAAATGCGTTTTGTTACAATATACTTTTCCACTTTTTTGGTCTTTTGGAAAATGTTGTTTGTGCTGTATTTAGACCCCTCTAACAAGAAATTGTTTGCATGCACACGTATAAAAATTGCAGTTTTTATCCAACGCAATCATAGGTTTGAACGTTGTTTTCAATTAAGACTTGTTTATATATATATATATATATATATACATTACATAAAGGAGTTTTGGTTATTGTCCAAGAGAAAAGTAATTGTTTGGTTGGTAAAACGTTATGTAGAAATTTCATCTTAACTTTTTTCAATTTATCATGTATTGTTATTCAAATTAAGCATTATGTCCCATTTTTGAAAACCTATTGCCTTCTCATAATGTCTTTTTAAAAGGGAGATGTAAATATCTTTGGATGAAATTTTCTTTATTACTGATACCATTTTTCCTTCTCTATCTTGAAATTTAAATTCGGAGTCGGTAGCAACTTTTGTTTTAATTGGTTCTTCTATCGTTAGCTCTTGTTACCACTGTTTTGTTATTGCTTTCCTCATTTTAGAATATTCCGAAAACCAACTAGCACGGCAAGATAGTTTTTCTACAATCATATTTTGATTAATTTTTCATTTATCATCAATTATGTCATTTACAAATCGGATTTTATAGTACTTGCAACATTAGGCGTAACTGTTTGACGGGAACTTGACTAATCGGTTAATGATCGGTGATCGATGACCATAGAATCCGTCAGATACGTCAAATAAGCTATGTGAGAGTTACCGTGACAAAGATCAGCGATCGATCAGTAAATTAATTATATGTACGGATCGGACGGAAACGTATATAATTAAATTTCTTATGTAAAACGAACTCCACAGTATTTATATGCGATAAACGCGGACCTTTACTCGTTAAAAGACACCTTTACTCGATAATTTGTAATCAACTTGGTCGCAATAACACGTAAATATGTAAATTACTTTTCACGCATTATATGTATTACTTCGTATTCTCTTATTTTTTTATCAAATAAAATACATAAGTGCAGAATAATGTCATGCTCAGAATGTTTCTATATCACTTAAAAGGGATAAAATGTTTACATTTGAAATAAGTACCTGATTTAGCAATTATGCATTTTAATGTCACGAGATGATGAACATAAAAATAATATAACAGTAAAGATACTTAAAGCTTTGTTTTGGTTGATTAAGAGAGCAATTATTTCTTTATTTTAATTGCAATCTGGAACCACAATTTGATTTTAGTACTTTTTGTACATCAGGATTGGTTGTTTTTCATTAAACATGCTGAATTTCTGGGAAAAGATACTGAAATTTTGTTTGCATTGCTTAAAAATGCAAATATTTCTTCTTTTGTATTATAAATAATGCAACGTCAATTGCAATCAGTCATTATAAAATAAATGTCTTTAGATAAGTAATTGTGTATAACATGTGAATAATCAAGGATAAAGATACTTAAACTTTTGTTTGAGTTGAATAAGAATGCAACTATATCTTTATCTTATGGAAATCATGAACCGCCATTGGAATTTAGTACTTTTTGTACATCAAGATGGGTTGCAATTTACAAATAGTGATCTATAGCAGAGAAAAGATGTAAAATTGTGTTCCCATTGTTTAAATATGCCAATATTTCTTCTTCTTATTAAAATTAATGAACTGTTGTTGGCAATCAGTTATTTCAAATGCCTCTGACTAATTTGTTCTTATAAAATGTGAATAATTTAAGGATAAACATGCATAAACTTTTGTTTTTGTTGTATAAGAATGCAATCATTTTTTTAATTTTGATAGAGCTTATTGACCGCCATTGTGTTTTTGTACTTTTTGTACATCATAATGGGTTGTTTTTCACAAAATTAATTGAATATCAGAGGAAAGGTACTAAAATGTTGTTCGCATTGTTTAAAATTACCAATATTTTTCTTTTTATAAAAAATAATGCAATGTTATTTGTTATTAGTTATCTTAAAGGCCTCAAGATAAGTCTTTTTTGATAGAATTTTAATATAATAAGGATAAGAATACTTAAAACTTTTGTTTGTGTTGAATAAGAATGCAATAATTTCTTTATTTTAATAGAAATTGTGAACCGCCATTTGATTTCAATACTTTTTGTACATCAGGATTAGTTGTTTTTCATAAAATATGCTAAATTTTAGGGTAAAGATACTAAATATTTGTTCGTGTTGCTTAAAAATGTAAATATTTCTTCTTGGATATCAGAAATATTGCAACATCAATTGCAATTAGTCATTATAAATGCCTTTAGATAAGTAACTTTATATAAGATGTGAATAATTTTAGGATAAATATTTTTGTTGATAAGAATGCAATCATTTCTTTATTTAAATGGAAATTTTTTACCGTCATTGGATTTTTGTCCTTTTTGTAGTTTAGGATTGGTTGTTTTAAAAAAAAATTTAAATGAACATCTGAGAAAATATACTAAAATGTTTTTCGCATTGTTTAAAATTACCATTTTTTCTTCTTTTGATAAAAAATAATGCAATGTTATTTGTAAATAGTTATTTGAAAGGCCTCACGATAAGATTTTTTTTATAAGAATTTTAATAGTATAAGGAGAAAAAATACTTAAACTTTTGTTTTTGTTGAAAAAGAATGCAATAATTTCTTTATTTTGATAGAAATTATGAACCTCCATTTGATTTCA